AAAAAACGGCCGAGGGGCTGCCGCACGCCGCTCATGAATGCTGGCGACGGCAGCCCCACCACCTCCCACCAATCCGCACAGGCGTCGCACCGCGCCGCCGATGCTCCACCCGATCTTTCAAATTGCCCGACGCAATCGTCGGGAAGGGCAATGGAGCTTATCCGTAAACGACGCTCGACTGTGGTACGACGAATTACCGACATCCCCGCTTTGGGCCAGTTATATAAGGAAAGCGAACGAGGTCGCTCGAGAGATGTGGGCGCCGTCAACGTGGGAGCGGAGAATGTCCCTAACGGGGCAATTCGCAACCTTTTGCCGCACGCACGAACAGCCGATGAACGAGGAGAGCTGTGCGGCCTTTTTGGTGGCAATATTAGATGTGGCGCCATCGACCCGACTGCAGTACGCCAGGATGCTGCGGTCCATGTTGGAAATGGAACGAACCCCGCTGGACATGATGATTGTGGGGTTACAAAAAATTGCGGCGCGATCGGAGACGAAGCAAGCGCGTCCCTTGACAAAGGAAGAGATGAATCAAGTAATCCGCAGCCGGACCGATTGGAAGGAACGTGTTGTCTTAAGACTCGCGTGGATAACGGCGAGTCGTTGGTCCGAGGTTGCGGCCTTGACAGCCAAAAATTTCACACTGGAGGTGGACGGGACCTTAATTTTGGATAGGTCCGTGGCGCCGAAGACGGCGAGAGCGGATCCCCACCGCGCCTCGCGGTTTGTGAAGATACGAGGGCAAGACGCTTTCGACATTATAAAGCTATGCAGGACGCTTCAAGAAAACGAAAAGCTCACGAATCTTACGACTGCTCAAGTCGAACGAGCTTTGGCTCCTTGGGATGCCACGGCGCATTCCATAAAACGGGGAGCGTTGAGACACGCTGCTCAAATCGTGGAGAAATACAATTTGAATCCACACGTGATCTCGCAGTTGGCGAAGCACGTCGACCCGTTCGACCTTCCCCAGAATACTGTTCGATATTTGGGGAGGTACACCACACTGCTGACCCAGGTGTCGTCGCTGATCGCATTGATGTGAAGGGAGGAACGGCGGAAGGGCAGGAACCCTGGTTGAGAGCGGAGGAGCGTTTATTTTCTCATGACTTTTATCACAATCATGCAGCTACAATAACGAGACGCGCGAAAAGGACGCGTCTGGCCACTCCACAAGATGAACACGCTATCCCGTTACAGCAGGTCAACGTGCCCGTATTGAACTTAGAGTGGATTAAAACTCGGTTGAACCCGGCCACCCTGGAGAGGCTCATGCAAGTTTGGGGACTCGTCGGGCGGTCCCTTTTCCCTCCGTCTTCCTCCGGTAAAGCGGGCGAAGGCTCACGGAGGATTCCAACCGCTGACGCGAGATTGTTACGAAAAGCAGGAATTATCGAGGACGCTTCGTCCACAATAACAAGCGGATGGATAATACCTTTTTCGGTTGTGGAGGAGAAAACCGCCGGTCTACGACGACGATGGATCGCGTGGCCACGCGACAAGAACAGAGACGACCCTTACGAGGCGAATGTTCCTCTTTTACACATTTCCCATTATTTGCCACCTGTGATGGCTGAGGCCGCTTCCTGCCTGGATGTAAGGTCGTCCTTCATAATCTCTTTACCGCGGGAGACTCGGCATCTCTCTCGATGCCACGTGGAGGACGGCACGCTGGTGGAGCTCACACGGCTCCCTATGGGATACAAGGCCAGCCCAGAAATTCTCCAGATTATTACTTCAGCAATTGCGGGGGTGACGACGGTGGTTCACCCCCTCTGGGCCGCACCTCCATTGGTGCGTATCGACGTATGGATCGATAATATACGCATTGCAGGGTCGAAAAGCGACGCGACATTGTGGGAGGCCCAGGTGCTTCGTAACGCAGACATTTGTCACGCATCCATGGGGAAGAACGCGAATCGGGCGCCACGCAGTACACCTTTCTTGGGGTGCAGTTTGTTCACACTCACCGGGCGGTATCCCTGAGTGAGAAGTTTGTCCGCTCTGTACGCGCCATGCCGGCGCTTAATTCTTTGACCATCGCGGAAATTGTGCGTTTGTTGTTGCGCCGTGATATCTGGCGCTCTTTTTGTTCTTCGCCGTGTACGTCCGTCCTCAGTTCTCCTCCCCACGGCAACAGCGAGAGTACTGGAGTTTGTGGTGCCGGTCTGCCCGCCCAACGTGCGTGGAGGACACACACTGAAACACAAACACGCGCGGAGGGGCGCTGAAGAGGGGGAGGGCGTGCGTGTTGAGGGGCTTTGGCCCGTTTTTTTGCTGCGGACAGAAGAAAAAACAGACGACGCCTCGTTGCCAGGCGCCAACAGCCGCCGTCTCTCGGCCACGGCACGCATCGGAATTTGTTCTCGAGGGCGTGCCCTTTTTGGAGTCGCCGGATGTCTTTTCCAGCGACGATGAGGACGGCTTTGGCCTCTTTCGCAGACGGGGAAAAACGGGCGCATTTTCCGGGCGGGGGCGTGCTTCCACCCTTCTTCGACATACGGTGCCGCCTGTTGCGCGCCCGTCGGTCGTCGTGGGCGCCTTATTGGGTTTAATGCTTTTTCTATTCATTTTCCTCTTTTTTTTCGCGGCAAATCACGGCACGACAGGACACGTATATACGCACTCCCGGACTGCTCGCGAGCGAATTGGCTTCCCGTGCCGCAAACGCGGGGCCATGCTTGTGTATGTGTATGTGTGTGTGTGTGTGGTTGTTTTGTATGTTATCTTTGGTGCGTGTTTATGCGGTGTCGGCGGTTGCGTGTGTGAACGTATATATTATTCACATAGATTTATGTGTCTGCTCGTTTCTTCTTTGCCGTTTTAACCGGGAGGCTGTGAAGGAAAAAACGCAAACAAACAAAAGGAGAGGTCAACAGCAACAACAACAACAGCAGCAACAACAACAACAACAACAACAATGAGTCCCAATCCGGCGCGAATGGCCATCGCGATTGGCTATCATAAGCAACATCAGTAATGACTGCAACCAGGTGATTGATGATGATGGCGGCGCAAGTTACGGGTGGAGAGGGCACCTGGGGTGTACATCCTTCTCTCCCTTAAACCGGGCTTCCCACATAACGCACATTGTCGGGCAGGACGATCTCCACTGCCACAGCATCCCGGCCTTCACTTTTGCCCTTTGCCTTGCGTTCTTGTATCGCCTTCGCCTTTCGTTCCCGAATCATTTCAAGCATTTTTGCACGCTCCCTTTCGCGTTTTTCGCGGTTCAACTGCCGTTCCTCCTCCTGCTGTGGGGACGGCGCGGGAGGAGAATTCCATCGTGCCACCGACGCGGCGCTCCTGAGTCGTCTGAATGCCTGAGAAACATTTCCGTTTAGACTGTGCAAGATTGACGGCTCACGGGCTAAAGGTGACACGTTCCTGTTTACATGATTGCCATTTTGCTCCCTTTTTGCCGCATTAATTTTCGTGCTCATGATGCGGCGCCTTGGCCGGACAGCTGGTTTGCTCTGCGCTGGCAGTTGGGTTGCCTCCTGCGCCCGCACCTCGCGCTCGGGGCCTGGCTTTGAATGGGGGTCGTCTTCCTGCGTCTCCCTGCGCGGGGGTGTCGTTATTTTGGGGGGCGACACCGCGACGCACCGCCCTCGATCTCGATCACGTTGCCGGTCGCGCTGGGCGTCCACTAATGAGGAGTTGGTTGTGGTTGTTGCCAGGACCTGTTCATCGGACTGGCGGAACTTCGTGAGGTAGCGCTCGATGATATTCACATCGTGGTTGCGTGCGTGAATCCAGTCCGCTAGTTTCCTCTCCACCACCACCACATCCATCATGCCTCTACGAATTTCCGTGGGGGAGGTCTCCTCCACTGGGGACGGCCGTCGGGGTGGCTGCGGTGGCTGGTGTTTATTTGGACTCGCCCCCGCGGCGCGTCTGGGGATATTCGGCGGCGGGGGCCTCTCAATCCTCACCCGCTCCGTCGCGCTTTTTGCCGCTGCGCACGTGCGGGCATGAATGGCCCGCTCCGTCATCTCCAACGCCTTCTCGAGGCCGCACCGTCTTGCCGGGTTCACGTTAAGCATGGACACGACGATGGCGCGTATGTCCTCCGGAGTGGACGCCGGCAACGGGGCGATGTCACCCGACGTGATCTGCTGCACGAGGCTCGCAAAACTAGTTGGGGCAAACGGCCGCCGCAGCGCCACCATCTCGTAAAAGACACAACCGAGCGACCAGACATCGGAGGGGAAGCTGTACGGCGTCCCCATCAGCAGCTCCGGCGAAATCCAGAATGGTGTGCCGACGAAGGTGGAGGTCAGCGAGGCGGAGCGCAGAAGCGCCTTGGCGGAACCAAAGTCGCCGAGGTACAATTCCGTCGCGTCCGCGTTGAGGAAGATGTTGCTGGGCTTCACATCCCGGTGCATGATATTCTGCCCATGACAGCACTGCAACGCCCGAAGAAGTTGCTCAAACCAACGCAACAGAAGTACCTGCTGCAGCGGCTTTTTCTCACGCTGCAGTTCCTCCAAGTATGCCTCGAGGTCACCGCCCTCTGCGTACGCGAGCACAACGTAGAGCGCCCTGTCGTGCACAAACGACTCCAAAAAAGGTATGATATTTGGGTGCTGCACCCGCAACGACACGTTCAACTCCTGCACGCCTTGTGTTCCATCCATCAAACGCTTGATGACCACCTTCTTTCCCTCATCTTGCTTGTCTACAGCCAGGTACGTCGCCGTCGTCCCGCCCAGTTGTCTTACAATCCTGTAGTGATCCATGCCCATCCTCACGGCTTATTCCTCCTCGCCTCGTTTTTATTTCTTCTTCCTTCCTTCCTTCCCTCCGTGTGGCAACGGCGGTGGCCTGCCTGACTGACCGTAATGCAATGCAAGAATGTATCTCTAATATCTGTAAATAGTCGTACAGAGGTGAATGGATGGATACGACTCCCTCTTTTCGTTCCTTTATTTTACTCTTCACGCAATATATATGTTTATTTATATGTATATACACCGTCTCCCCCTCTCTATTTCCCTCTCTTTTACTCTCACTCCTTTTTTTTCACTACGACGCCTTCTTGTTTGGATTTGCGTGTCCGTCAGCGATCACGCGCGTCGTCGCCCACCCGTCAGATTCGGTCTCGCGGAGGGGGGAAAAGGAAAAAGAATATGCAGCGTATCCGCGTGGTAAATGAACGGTGTAATAATATTAATACTAATAATAATGCTACTACGCCTGCGTGTGTCTGCCTCGCCCGGGTGGCGTGCCAAGCACTTCCAATTCCTTCAAACGGAGTGCAGCGGTGGATGTGTACTTCTTTCCTTCTCCACTACCACTACCACCGCCAGTCCGTCAGTCCGTCCTTTTCGGCTGATTTCGTCTCTCTCCCCCTCCCCTCTCAGTTGTCTCTTCGGAACGATCCAACAAGACGTGCAGAGGGGCGAAAGCAACACCCACCCACAAATGGGAGAAATTCAAGCGGTGATGAAAAAACAACAATAAAAAAGCAAGGCGGCGGCAGCAGAACCCTTCCCCGTGAAGGAAGCGGGGAACAGAAACAACACACAAGTGTGATGGCAGGGTGCCACGTCACCTCCTCCCCTCACGGAAACGCCCCTCTCGCCCTTTGTTTCTGATATGTATGTATGTATGCACAAAAGTATATATGTATATATATATTGTGTAAATAAATATATTTTTCTTTCCCTCCTCCCCTGCCGCTACTAAAAACTATGATTCACCGTGATGCTGTCAACCGGAAAGCCTGTGCTCCCTCTCCTTCAGCCCCTTTTTTGTTGGCCTAAAAAAAAAAAAAAAAAAAAAAAAAAAAGGGACACGAGAAGAATGAAACCAAACCAACCAAACAAAAGCGAGGCATACGCAAAGACGGAGGTCACACACACACAGACAGACATGTAAAGATGTAACAACAACAAAATAAATAATAAAATAAATTAAGTCATGCCCACCAGTCGGCATGCCGCCACCATCACTCATTCACCCGCACCTTCTTTTCTCTCAGCCCCTCTTCTCTTCGTCTCCTTCTTCTTTTCGTCAGCCAAAGTAACGTAGAAAGAAGTTGCAGTAACTCACCAACAGCACCGTCCGCGGAAATATATCCACAACGGTGACACCACGCACATGCTCATCCACCATCGCGAATGGCCCGCATGACAACAACGGTGGCACCGTCTTCTTCAAACACCCCGCATTATTCCCGCCGCCTTCCAAAAGCGTCACGGAAAAAGTTTTCTCCCGCCAATCGAGGAAACAACGCAGGCGGTACCAACGCCGTGGAGCGAGGCGGAACGATGATACGTCGTTATCGTCACTCGTCGTCCCCTTTCGCTGCGCCATGACGTGCAACTCGTTGTTCTTGAAGAGAAAGGCGCAACTACGTTGCCCATCGGCGTCACGGAAGACAAGTCGCTCTGTTTTGTTTCGGCCGCCGCATGTCGTGTCGCACCAAAAAACATCCACGCTCCATTCAGACGGCAGCGACAACTCTGCTGGGAGCGTATACGTGACAGCCCCGCAGATGCTCAAAATGGGCGGCGGAGAGCTCGAACAAGAAGGCATCAGAGGTGTGGCGTGCTGGGCGACGCTACCGCATGGCATGAGTTGTAGGAGGGGAGGCGAAGCGGCAACGAGACTGGACCCCGCCTCGCCTCTGGGCGCATTTGCCAGGCAATCTCGCCTCGCTTCTTCCGCTGCTACGCTCAACTCCACGTCACGAAGTTCGGCATCGTCTAACAACGTCTGCGCGTGCTGATACTCCTGCTGCAGCTGCGCAAAAGCCTCCTGCCGCTCCTCCAGACGCTTTTCTAAGTAACGCACATGGACCAGCAGATTCTCTCGCGCCGCCTCGGACTCCGTAAGACGCGCGGCCTGCTGCTGCAGACTTTCCTCGAGGCGGTGGCAGTTGACGCACAATTCTTCTGTTGGTGCCGCCCGCCGCAGTCGTATGACATGCTCGCGTATCTCTTCCACCACCGTGTTGTCAGCAACAGAGGCGTATGTCGCGGTGATCCGCAGTATCTTTTGCTGGCTGCCGTGGTGGGGCATGAGGGCGAGCCACACCTCGGAGAAGGGCATTGCCTTTGTCAACGTGTCTAACAGGGCGGATAACTCCTCCATCGTGAGGGCGCAGCCTCGTTGATGTCTTCCGCAGCGCACCCAATTCACCACCTCCTCTGCACTCACAAGGCGTAGACCGGCCTCGGTGAGAATATACATCAGGGAGGCAAGCTCGAACTTGTCAAACGGATGGGTTGGCTCGAAGTCGGGTGGCGTCGCCTCGCCTCTCCAGCTGAAAAGCCCGGCAACGGCCATGAAAATTTTGCGATACTGCAACAGCCAGTAGCGATCAACCCACTCCTCAACGGTGTGCGTGGGCCCCCCATTGCACAGCGCACTTTCAACGGTGGCGATAAAGTGCTCACAGTTACATGCTTCATCCTTCCCCAGTCGAAGAATGTCAACACCGCCCGCATCGACGCACATGAAGAACTCTTTCATGTCCTCTGGCGTGATATACCCGGCGGCACCAGCGTCCATAATGCGGAAACATTCCTCTAGCATGTGATGTCCCTCTGGCGACAGAAAGTAGCGATCGCTGTGCTCGGGTTTATTTTCTGCCCTCCTCGCATCGTCAGTGACATCCCTTTTGTTAATGCGGCCATCCATGTTGCTGGCACCGCCATTGCCATCGGATGTGGGTGAGGAGAGAGGACGGCGGTGTGGTGATTTCTTTGACACCGCGACGGAGAGGGATGGAGAAGACGGCGACACGTGGCGCAGTTTGACGGATGTCGTCTGACGATCCGCAACTTGCTGCCGTACCTGCCGCACAAAATCACTGTAGCCGATAAAGTTCTGTAAATCCTTCAGGAGGCTCAGCGTGGGGAAGGCGATGGCCGTGGAAAGGTACTCCTGCATGTACTCCTGCTGCTGCTTCTGCCTCCCTTTTTCCTTTTCGTCCGTATCCTTCTCCTGCGAGGAGCGTTTCCATGCATCGGGCGGTGGCGCGTCAAACTTCGGCGCCATGGACCGCACCAGCTGGTCGAGCTGCACAAAATCCTGCCAGCGTCGCTGCACTTGGGCGACGGTCGTCTTGTGGTCCCCGCGGTTGTCAACGAGGCGCAATTGAAACACGCCAGGCATGTCGTCCGATAGCACCGTCACCGCAAAGACGGTGGGACCCAACGGCGGTGGCTCATCCGCCTCGGGCCTCGCCATCGTCGGTAGCCGGAACGGGACCGCTTGTCGCTTCTCCCTCTGCCTTTCTTTTCCTTTTTTTTTTTTTTTTTTGTCTGCTGCTAATCAAAATTGACACGCCGCAGCCTGGCGCCGTACCGCCCACAGAGCCTGTAGCATTGAGAGGGCGGACGAGTAATATTGAGAGGCAAGAGGCATGATAAGAGTCAAGAACTGAGTGAGTGAGTGAGTGGATATGCAGGCGATACTGAAGTCAAAGGCAAAACAAATGCGCCCCACCCCATCTTGAACGCCGTCCATTCCCGATTGCATGGCGACACACACACACACACAGAGGGAGGGAGACACTCTGCAATATAAACAAATAAATCTAAAGAAAATGCCTCATGAGTCCAATGTACGTACAATAACTTCTAACTATATATGCAAATATGTATGCATGTATAAATTTCTAAGCAAGACGCGCGTAACTTTCATAACAAAACAAGAAGTAAAATCTGACGACCACCCGCTCCCTCCTTTTTTTTTTTTTCTTCTTCTCATTCCCTCTCGCTCTCACGGATTAAACTCATCGATGAGAAGAATACTCTCACCCGCAGTTTCCTCAAGATTGTTTCCGCGATCTGCTTCTATGCGCGGCATGTCGTATTTTGGCAGTCGCTCCGCAATGACGTTGTGTCGCTTCTCTACGACCATTTCCATCTTCGCAATGCGTGTCTCTAACTTCATCACCTTCGCGTCCCACTCCTCCAGTTGACATTTGAGGTTCGTGAGTCCCTCCTTTGCCTCCCGCAGCTTTGAGGTCAGCGACTGCCGCTGCGCCAATTCCTCGTGCACCCGCTGCATCTTTTCCTCACGCTCCGCAATGGCCGTGCGCAGACGTGTCTCCTCGACATCCAACGCGGCGACACGCTCGCGCTGCGCCTGCCCCTGCGCCTCCTTCGCATTCACCTTTTCATCCTGCGCGGCCTTGCGCTGAGCGAAGCGGAGCCGCTCCTGCTGCAGCTGCTCATCCCGCCGCTTGCATTCCTCTGTGAGCTGCTGGACGTTTTGTGTGAGCTCCTGCAGGAGCTTGCGGCGGAGGTCGACAGCGCGCTCCCTCTCCGCGATGATGGAGGAGCGCGCCTGAAACTCGCGGAATGCGGCAAAGTCCGTCATCTCCCCAAAAAACCGAAAACTTCAGTACACTACGCTCAATAAAGTGAGAAGGAGGGAAATAAAACAACGACTCCAGCAAAGATGCAGCACACAGACGCATGCGGGCGGCATCAGCGCCGCAACAGACACACCACAGCCACCAGTAACGGAAATCAATCACAGGCAGAGAGAAACAAACACACACACAAAGAAAAAAAAAAGGACTGACTTCGTGCAAGCATCACTGGAAACAAACAAAAAAGAAATTGGCATGGGGCGAGGGGTTCATTATTCCCAGTTGGCTCCCTCCTCCCATCACTCTCTCAGCCTCCCCCCTTTCTTAAGGATATATAAGGGACACACGCACGAAGGAAGAAGAAGTTCTGCGAGTGAAACATCCGCCATAAGACAAAACGGCCATCAAGTACCGGTTGCCTCTAGACGTTCCAGCAGACGCTCAATGACAACAACCTCCTCAACTAAAGGCAACACGTGCCACCAGTTGCGATTTGGCACCATCTGCATTACTAACGACACATCCCGCTCCGCTACCTCTACGCTTCTGTAATAGTTGTACACGGAAGAAAACACGTCATCACCTAAAGTTCCTATCGCCATCTCAATACGTTGCCGCCGCCGCGCCGCCAATGAGGCCTCAAGACTTCCTGGTGGCCACTTTGCCGCAGCGCCATTGAAGCTGTTCGCATGTTTCCAGCCATGAGAAGGCAGGGGCAGCGGCGACGATGAAAGCGAAGGCCCGTTGCTCTTTCCCTTCTTATGTGAGTGAGGGTTAGTAGAGGCTGTGGTGGCCACATGGCTCACCCGTGCGAGGCTGTAGTAATAATGCGCTGTGGGTGTGCTGTCTCCACCAAACCGTCTTTTATGCACCTCGGCATCTCGCTGTCGCTTTTGCTCCCGCATCTCGCTCTGCACTAGTTGTCGGTAGCGCGCCACCTCCTCTTCAATAAGTTCCAGTGGCATATGACGCATGTCATCCACGTTGCCGTCGCCTGACCTCCATATGGGAAAAAGGTGACCGTCACCATCACCATCGCCATCCTTTCTCCTTTCCACTGTGAAACTACCGTCCTTGGAAAGCGACCGCGCAGTATGAGCATGGTCCGGGTGCAGCCGCATTGGGCTGGCGTCTTCACCAAATGTTGAAGTGCCTGGCGACAACGGCATTTCTGTCCGCGGCGTTGCGGCGGTAATTTGCTCCACCAGCGCACGTTCCTGCGATGGCGACATCGTTGGGCATTTTTCCGAGAGATAAGGTAACCGTGGGGAAGAGGCATTTTCGCAAATACAAAGCCTTTGCATTTGTGCTTCCCATGTGCGCTCAGCCTCCAACTCAGTTGGTTCACATGACGCCCGTTGAAGAATAATTTGCTGCAAGTAGGCTTTCATAATGGGGGCGCGAAGGATTTCTTCGCAACTTGGCCGATTCGCCGCGTCCAGGGAGAGCATTCGGTCAAGTAACTGCACAACCTCGGGAGGGTAGTGCCCTGGCGGTGGCTGCCGTGCCCCTGCCATCACCCGCATCATCAGAGTTGCAAGGTCGCGCGACTCAAATGGGTGACGAAGACTCAGCAGTTCGTAGAATATACACCCAAGCGACCAGACATCCGAGCTGGGACTACAAACGCCACTCTCAAGCACCTCCGGCGCCATGTACAGCAACGTCCCCCGCACCGCCCCAATCAAAGGGCCGTTCATAATATCATCGGCACTATCGCATGTGCTGACGTCCCCAATAAGTTCACCGTCGCGCCGCTTCGCAAGGAAGTGTTGCGAGGCGGGCAACAGTGGTGACGAAAAAGGACTCTTCGTTTTACTAAACTCCGCCTTACCTACAAACTCCGCTACGCCAAAATCACCCACGGCCACCTCCCTTCTGTTCGACTTCAGGAAGAGATTCTGGGTCTTGAGGTCACGGTGGACGATGCCCTGGGCGTGCAGGTAGTGCATCGCCAGGCTTATTCCAGCAAACCACACCATCACTTGTCCCATCGGCAGGTACTCGTCCTTCTCGCGCTGCCGTGTGATGAGGGCCGCAAGGTCGCCGCCGTCGTAGTGATCCATCACGATGCAAAGACTGTCTTTGAAGAGAAACGCATCTCGCTGTGCGACGATGAAGGGGTGGTGCAGGCAGCTCATCACTCGTATCTCCTGCGCTGCCTCCCTGCGCTGCTCCATGTCCATCTCAGTGAGGGAGATACGCTTCATGACAAGAACCTCGTTGTCCGCCGCGCGGCGAACCTTGAAAACGACCCCAAAGCTCCCCGTCGCCATTTTCTCCAGAATGCGGTATTCATTCAGCATGCCGCCGTGTTGGGTGGGGAGGGGAAAAAAACCGTGATTCCTACCAAGGGGTCCCCGCAGTCACGTTGCATGCACGCAAAGTGCCCCCACACGCCCTTCTTTTGTTTCTTCTTCCGGGAATAATTCCTCGTCCCCCCCCTCCCCCCCTCCCCCCGCTGCAACCTTCTGGGCTTTTTTTCTTTTTTTTGCCCGGCAATATTTTACAGAACAAACTCACACCCGCACATCAACAACAGGGAGAAAAAAGAAATGAGAGGGGGTGGAAAAAAAAGAGAGAGAAATTAACCTCGCCATTCCACAAGAGGGCAGTTTGCACGTGAGCCGCGGCATCCACTCCATCCACACATGGAGAAAGAAGGGAGAACAGCGTCATATCTATTTGCACACACACACACACGTCTTTCTGTCATTCTGTATCTGTTTCTGTCTGTGTACAAGAGATAACGACAACAGCCGCCGCATTAAAAAAAAAAAAAAAAAGTATTTCATCAACACATTCCTCCTTTTCCCTCTCTTTCTCCAACCCCTTTATTTCTCTCTGTGGTAAGCAAAAAAAAAAAAAAAAAAAAACTACAAAAAAAAACAACACACAAACGCACGCTCTCAATCGCGACACGAGCGCAAGTACACCGTTAGACAAAATATCAAAGGCCAAGACGCCGCTTTTCTCGATGCAGCGCCAGCCGATAGCAGTAATGTAACCTCGCATCTTCAACAAGATTAGAAACCTCTCTGTACGGCAGCGGCATGGTATTAACGTCATGCACAAAGGCGGCATGGTACCACTCCTCCTCCTCATCGTAATTCCCCACACGCATCGCTTTGCCATTCCGCTCTATCCCACGCTCAAGCAGCTGCTGGAAGCTTTGCAGTTCGACTTCTCGCGGAAACACACGCCAGGGAGCAATCTTTAAGTCTTCCTCGCAGCAGGTGTCATTGTTTTCCTCCTCCTCCTCCTCCAATGTTAATGGCTGCCACGAGGAAAAGGCAAAGACGGCTGTAGCGCGCACATGTGGCAACAGTTGCAGTGGTTGCGGTGACGGAGGAAAATCTCCACGCCTCCTCTTCCTCTCAGAGCAATGCGGCGGCTTCACGCGCGATGCGGCTGACAGCACCGTTGAGGGTAACAGTGCAGCGGCGGCGAGTTCACGACTTCGCGCAATGGAGAATTTGCTCGTAGAAAACCATTCAGTCATTTTTTGTCGATGACGTCGGGGTGGACGCAAACCAAATAATTTTTGCAGACGTTCCTTTGCGGTATTCCGCAGCGTCAAGGTCTGCCGCATGTGTTTCCCTTCGGGAAATCGCAGCTCCGTGGCGCGCGTCATGCACGAAGGCATTCGTGAAAAGAGCGATTCAGAATGTTCGTGCACGAGAGTGTTCCGCGCGCCAGCGTGGCCCCCCTCTCGCCACGGGCGTCCAGCCTTCATTCTCTGTGTGCACATAAGCGGGGGGACGGCAACACTGGCCAACTCGAGACGCTCACACTCGCCTGCGGCATCGCTTGTCAGAGGCGTGTCAACTGACGCCACAATCAACGGGGGAGACGGCGCTGCTGTTGTGCGTTCCAGCGTCCGTGCCACTGCGAGAAACCGACGCTGCAGGACGGCCTCCTGCGATTTGAATGCCGACGGAGTGTCGTTCCATTTGCCCGCAACATCAACCGCCAGAATGGGTGGAAGCATGCGTTCACTTCGTTGCCGGTCCAACTTGCGGCGTGGAACGACGATGGGATCCATACGAAATGACGCTGCCGGCTCGTCCTGAAGCGGCACACGTCCCTCTCCCAGCGGCTGCTCCGCCAGAAGCGGATGCGAGAGCGACGGCGGAAGCAACGCGAATGGAGTTTTTTCTATTCGCACCGCGGCGCTCCACGCAGCGCAGAACGCCGACAGCATCTCGTCCCATGTTGCAGCGACATCTCTGTCCATCACTGCCCGAGGTGACCACTCAGCCCGGCAAGCCCGCGAGCACCGCCGCTCACGACGCGGAGACGCGAATACAAGCGGCAGGTCAAAATGTGGCAGCGAGATGGAGAAGAACAAAGAAGACGACCCCTCCGCAAGAAAATGCGGGGAATGTGGTGGTGACGGATGTACCGCCCCCGGTGTCCGAGCCGCAGGCCACATCGTCTCCCTTGAGGATCCGCGTGCCCAGTACGGCAGTTGCAACGGCGCTATTTCCACAACATGCGGCGCCTCTTCTGCCGTCTCTCCTGTCCTTTCTGTTGGGCAAAACGGAAAATGCGGCATAAATCGCAGCAGTCTTCCTCGCCGAGTCGCACTGCTGCCGCGGTTGCCGGTAAACGTTTGTAGAATGACAGCGTTATCATGCCGCAGCATGTGGACAACCGCAAGCCGCATCGAATCTTCAGGGTTTAAAGCTTTCGGGGCAAATTTAAGCGGCATCGCTCCCGCGCCCTCTCCGTCTGTCTAATCGTTCTGGCTCCGTGACGGGCGTTGATGATGCGGATAGAGAAAGAAGGAACAACAACAACAACAACAACAAAGAAAGAGTTCTTAAAACAATCCACCATATACACATATGTATATATGGGAGGAGTGGGTGGGTGAGTGCAAACAGACATGAATGTAAGTATTAAATGTTCACATGGAATCCCAAATAAAATGCGACGTTTATAAAATAGGAACAATCGCATTTTAAAATTTAAGCCAATCCACTGGATAATTATGGACGATGCATCCGAGACAAATAACGATGACAACAACAACACCCGTCATGCCTCACAAATATGTTTTATTATGTCTAAAGGCGTTCCGTACCATTTTCCCCCTGCATGCGGCTAGATGCTCGCCAAAGTAATCGTTGTACCATTCTTTCCCTTCATCCGTCGCCGCCCACACATCGTAATCGTCTAGCCCAACACCCTCTTCTTCTTTTTCCTCGTGATCAACATTGTCATCCTCGTCCAGCAAATCGCGGCTTGTTGTTTGGGCCTTGGGTCTCGCAATATCAACGCTGTTGGGTCCTTTCCGTTTTGTCATTCCCAGCTCTTCGTCAGCCCGCTGTGCCCGCAGAAGGAGCAACAAGTCTTCCTGCAGGCTAGTCACGTGCGTCAGGTGCTGCGCATCGGCGGCTTGCATGTACGACGACACCTGCTGGAGTTTGAGCTCTATCTCATAGCCACGCAGCAAAAGACGTTCCTCAACTGTCTTAGCTGCAACGCACCGCTCAAAATCGGCGGCACTTGCACTGAAATTTTCCTGTTGCGATGAAATGCGAGGCGGTGGGGCCAGACGGATAAAAGAGCTTGAAGGCAGCGGGGATGGCGTTCGGAGAGGGTCGTTTGCCTCCTTGAGGATTCGTTGCGGGGGCTGAGACTCCAGGTCACCGTGTGCCCGAGATCGTCGCAGCGATGCATTCTCACGCTCCAAGGAGGTGACGCGACTCTCCATATCGCGCAGCTTCTCTAATGCCAACCGTACTTCCGGGCTGCCACCACCTTCTGTATCCAGCAGGTGTATGAAAGGTGGCGGCAGGGCTGGTGGTGGAGGGCGTGACGCAACAGCCTCCTGCATGAATTCCCCGGATGAGTCGTGTGGCGAGGGTGAAATCAGCTGCTGCTTTTCCGTGTTGCCGTTCGACACCGGCTGGATACGTCGTATCGTTGAAGAAACCGCCGTGGAGGGAGCTGTCGGTGAGTTCACAGACGGCGGAATCACGGCCTCCGCCTGCCGCGCGTCGGGAAAGCCCGCGTTAGAATAACTTTCACCGGCGTGAGCGACAACGGCCTCCGGAGCAACAGGCACGGGGGGAATCTCCACGTGGCCGTCCATGTAACTTATGATGGCGTCTACACGTGAATTCCGCCGTGTGCCCTCCGCGTCCAACTCCGACCTTGACTGCGACGGCTGTGACGACGGTGGTGGTGGCATCATCATCAAGAAGTTCTCCACGGTGCACTGCTGCTGTGCCTCAACAGCTGATACGACAGGCAGCGGCCACTCACCCTCTTCATGTCCCGTTCGCTCAAGCCGTGGCTTGTCCGCCCCATGGAGCTTCGTGTGGTCCTCCCCGTTATTCTCCACCACAAGAAGATGACGACCAGCAACAGAGACGCTGAGGATGCGCAAGATGTTTGTTACAAAGGCCATCTCTTTAGCGTCACCTAAGCGCATCACAACATCTCGACCCTCCAAGATCTTCCAGACAACATAATTGTCACGGCAGATGATCACTTTGGCGATGCAATCGATGCGACAACAGCGTGAAATCTTCCCGCGAGGCTTGAAGATGTACCAGTGGCTGCGCGAAAGAAGCAGGTAACATGGAATACTTTTGCCGCGCCGCGTGCGTCGTGTGACGTGTGCGTAGTAAACAATGACGGGGATAACTCCATTGGCGTTCAATGAGAGCGACAACAGGCGGTGAAGGGCGTCGCGAGCCTCACGCTCCATCGCCTCCGGTGGCACGATGGCCAGCTGCGAGACGGGATCACGGTAGACGGACGTCATGCACACACCCCGTAAAAAAAAAAAAACTCCTTTTATTATTATTTTTTCTACCTTCGCTCTCCCTCTATACTTCCCCTCCCCCCCTCTCTATTAGCGCAATAACAACCACCAACGCCACGAGAATAGAAATGGATGGCAGTCAACAGCCCGGTATCGGTTGTTGCAACAAATAAAAGATGATGTGTGCTGCGCTACAGCCGCCGTATTCCACCCGGTCCACGCACCTCAGCCGGGGGGATAACACCCTCCACATGGCCGCGGCAAAAAGAAGAAAAAAAAAGGAGAAAAAGAGGAACAGAGCACCCGCAGCATCAGGGGGGAGGAACAACAGCACCACCCACACCTCCCTGCGGGTGGGGGAGAGAAGAAAATGCGCACATTTCAGAGAGACATCAAGAACCAAAACAAGCGGCAACTAAAAAAAAAAAAAAAAAGGAAATAAAAAAAGGAGGGTAAAAAGAGCCCACAACTACACATCCGGCGGCCACGGCAAATGGGTGCCGAACAGGAGATGCTGCACAACGTTGAACTTTGACAAAACCTCCGCGGCGTACATTTTTATCATGCCGGCATATATCTTCTGCCAGCTTTCTACGCCACTGATGTTGTACAACATGCTGCTGTGCTCAAAAAAGGGGCCTGTCTTATTCTCCCGCACCCAGGCAACTTGGGCAAAGTAAAAGTATTCGTCCGCGTGTAGTCGGACTGCGTTTTCCTCACAGACGTGTTTTGGCAGGATGGCGCCGTACCCCTTTCCATTGCCGCTGTCGTCGGTCTTGTGTGGCACCTCCTTTCCGATCAGCTGCGCAGCACCGAAGATGAAGGGGAGGTGGTGATAGTCGTCAAGCCCCCACACCCCGTGCGATCCCGCGGGCTCCAGGTGGTAGTGCTTCTGCAGCCGCCGCATGAAGGTGAGGTAGGCACCAAACACATCGAACACCATGCCCTGTCGCAGTCGGCAAACACGGTCTCTTTTGTCCACCAGAACCGGCGCTGGCTGTGGGAAGTTGAGCGAGACAATTGTCGTCGGCTCCGCCTGCAGCGTGCCGCCAGCATCACCGCATTCCTCCAGGCATATCATAATAACAACGAAAAAGTGTAGTTCGTGTCCCGTACCGTAGTCGATGCGGGTACTGTTACCAAAGGAGTCTTTAATGTACTCTGCCAGTTCCACGGCAAGACAGCGCTGCTCCTCCTCACTTCTCTCACCCAACCTCGCTGGCAGTGTTAACACCAGCTGCTGCATCAGCCCGCCAACATCTGCTTCAAGACGCTCGTGAAAGACACGGAATGCCCTATTGCCAAACCGCTGTTGTTTCATGTCCTGCAGTGGCACTTCCTCAACAATCTTGTGAAGGTGCGGGAAAAACGTCTCGACGAAGAAGCGGACTGTCGGATGAAGCTCCGATGCCTTCTGCACCATTCTCGCACTTCGCGGTGTCCCATTGACGGAGTCTGAACATCCCTGCAAATAAGCAATAATTTTTGCAAAGGAAGCCGAGCTGCGGAATAAATCCATTAAATGAGGCTTTTCCACAATGTGCTTCTGTGGCACCGCAGCATCATTCGTCACGTGTGTGGTCTCCGGCATCGAAAAAAAAAAAAAAAAGAAAGAAAAAAATAATAAAATAAACTGAAATCAATCAATCAATAAATAAATATGACTTCGACAGTTAAATTCTTCTTTTCGTATTCTTTTGTAAACTATAAAATATAAATATAAATATCCTTCTGGATTCGTTTTTTCTCCCTTTTTTAATCTACCGGCTTTCCAGCCCCCGTCGCTCTAAGTACCTGTGAGAGATGGAAGGCAATGAAGAGGCGTAAGGAAGCAGAGAGAGGGGGAGAGGCGGGAGACGTCCCCTCCCCCACCAACACGACGCATCCAAATGAAAGGCATGTAAAAAAAAAAAGAAAAGAAAACAACAACAAAATCCCCACGCCGCCTGTCAGCTTGTCGGTCCGCGGATACACGTGTGCGTGCGTGCGTGTGTGTGTTTCTCCGAAGACGCGTAAAGAAGAAAAAGAAAAAAAAAAAAGGGAGATCGTCGTGGTCACCAGCTCAGAGAAAGTCTTGTCCCATCTGTGCGAGCAGCGAGACAACGGGCTGAAAACGGCCTTGCGCGCCACGCACAAAACGCTCCTCCGTCACGAGCGTCGACTGATGCAGGATGAACAGAAGTTCGTCGCGGAGTGCCTCGCGAAGTGCTTTGTTCGCGGTAAAGAGAAACACCTCCGCCTCCACGTCTTTATGCACCGAGCGGTAGCCGTAATTTGTGCTCCCGTACGCGACGAGGTACGGCGCCTTGATGCCCTTCTCCTCCGCCTCACGCGTGTTGGCGCAGGCGTCACTGGCAGCATGCATCCCGCTGCGGCCACCTTTGGTCGGCATCTCCGTGTGCTCGCTGGTGCCGTCTTTGCTCTCGACAAACCACACGCCCTTCGCGTGAAACGTGAGTCCATCAACACTAAACTCCCGCACCCGCACCCGGTCAGAGCAGCCGTACTCCCGCATCAAAAAGTAAAAGGCCCGCTCGAGCTGAAGATAAAAGTACGGAATGTACCCCGCAAGGCCTTTTGCCCCACGCCACCCGTTCGTATTGACGCTTGCCGTAATAAAATCATATGTCGTTTCACTGGCCAACATCTCGTCCACAAACGGAGCATACATGTTGAGGTAAGGCGAGGTAAAGAATATACGTGTCGATGCCGGGGCCTTGTGAAGCAGTTGCTGAACAACGAGAGAATCATGGAAGATATTCGCTCGTGCAAACTGCAAGGTTGGGAAAAGAAATGTGTCATACTCTTCCTTCTCCTCCTCCGGTGAGAATAACTCCGACGCTGCCACAGCTCTGGCGGCAAACTCCTCCAGCAACTGCTTGGCCCGCGCACTAAAGGCGGCGCTCTCCAGTGATGGATCAATCCCCAGAGCGTTGGGAAGAATAACCAGTTCACTCTTCTTGTGTACCGTGTAGCCATTGCTCCTGTTCCTCAAATTGCGGCTATTGCTATTCACATCACCAATATTACTATTATTATTATTATTATTATTATTATTATTGGTAGCATTATGGCCAGTCAAAGCCTCCCCATGGCACACAACGCAATGCGACATACGGCAAAGAGTATGGGCAAGGTCTGAGAACCATGCGGTGACATGCACGTTGTCCTCAATCACTACATAACGGTCCATACGCGTAGAGAAGTAGTCATCCGAGAGGTTTGCGCCACTCAAAATGGTGTCGCAGTCATCAAAGCAGAATATTTTCGTGTGTTGTACGCCAAGTGCCTCCTTTGCACGGCCGAAGGGGGCAAACAGTCGGTTCCATCGACATGGTGTTTGGAAAAGAAACAAACGCACCCGCACCATCGCCTGGTTGTCAATTCCGGTGGCACTACCGCTTGTGCTGTGGGCGAGGGTGAGCAGCTGCTTCAGTGTGAGGAGGTTGTGGCGGTCGTGCATGCGGTTGTAGTCGAGGAGGAGACAAACGTCAAGCGGCTGCCCCGACCGCGCCATTTCTGCAACCTTGTCTTCAAGACACGCAACAAATTGCCGCGCGAGTGGGCCATCGCCAATGTAAAGGGCGGAAATGATGATACGGCGTTTGGCCGCATGCACGCGTTTCTGCAGCTCCTCAAAAAAATGTTTCGGGCTCGGCAGGATGCGCACCGACTCCGCACGTACGGGAAGCGCACAGCACGTTTCCTGCAGAAATGACAGCATCTCCGCCTGCTGGGCATCGACGGAGGGAAGAAGCGCCTCCAGTGGTCTTCGCCTCTGGCGTCCCTCCGGGAAGAAAAAGTCGACGCCGCAGCCACGGCCCCCCGGCGCCAACCCGCTGCGGTTGCTTCCAAAGACGCGGAACGTCACGAACGCAGCGACCGCGAGGACAAGAAGATACGCGACAAGAACGACCATTGACAGCACGCTAACAACAAAGACAAACACACTTCACTGGAATGTACACATCCGTCATTGCAGATCCAAGCGGAAGCAGAAGAAGAGGCAAAAAGAGTTACACCAGCATCACGGGCTCTGCCATTGCCATCACTCTCGGCGGCTAAATTGGTGGTACTGGAAGCCACCACACACAAACAAACAACAACAACAAATGTTTCTTTGCTTTGCTTCTTTTTCTCCTTCTTTGCATCGCACCAACTCCCTCACAATACCAGCCCTCGTACAGCGTCCGCGGCACCGCAGCCGTTTGCCACCAGTAACGCCATCAGCGACTCGTAGGCGTGATCACTACCGGAATTTGTGCGGCATGTAAAGGCCTCGCTGTAACTGAAGCGTACCCTCACGGAGCGTACATCATCTGGTGCTGCTGCTGTTGTGTGCCACGAGACACATGCCGTCACGGTGCGGCCCCTCGGAGAGAGCGGCTGGATGGACCGTACGGCATCCTCGGCGTTCACGCATGTCAAAAGGCTCGCACAATCAACGATCTGCGCGGCGAGCTCCTCGGCTGCTGTGTACCCGCCACCATCACCACCACTGCAGGGCGACGACGATAACGATGGCACTTCTCGCACAAAAGACTCAATTTTGGCTTCCCGCATGCCACTTTTTTTTTTTTTTTTGAAGAATAAATAAATAAATAAATAAATATAATTTTTCTCCTCCTCCTCTTCTTCTTTCTCCTCTCTGCAGTGCCGGTAAAGAAGGAAAAGTTCGCTTCGATGCAGTTCATAAACACAAAGAAATGGGGACGCAAAGCAGAAACAAATTCACATCCACGCACACATACGTCTCACATTACCGCCTCAGTTCTTTTCTTCTTCTTGTTCCTCTTATTTTCATCAGTCCTCCCCCGCTCCCCTCCCACGAAACGGGAAATTATTTTGAAATGTATTGTTAGTGTTATTAATGATAGGCGTGGCGGGAAACAAACGGGGTCCGCTCCTCACGCCAAAGGCGGCTGCAAGGAGATTCACCGGCTACACCGACCCCTCCCTCCCTCTCTTTCTTAACCTCCACGCTAAACCCATCAAAGCCTCCAGCGCCGCCTTTTCTCATTCTCTCGTTAGTTCGCCTCTTGCGTCACGCTCGCCGCAGCACTTTTGGACGGCACCTTTGGCTTCCGAGCGGGCTCTGCGTTCATAAGCTCTACAGGGTGCGTCGTGCAGCCGTTGAGGTCAGCAGCTTTGCCAATGGCCTTTCGCGCCGCGCTTGACAAGTCCCATTCACAAAGAATCGTCGCGCGACGTGCGCTTGAATCGGCACAAAAGGCCTGCGTGAGCAGCCAGTCGCGCGGTGCGCTGTCATCCTCGTGCGTGAGTGAAGCTGTCGTGCGGTACACAACAGCGGTGTTCGCAAACAACTCCGCTACGTACTGCGCTATGGCCATCACAAACAGCGGGTCGGCGCGTTTTTTCTGCTGCTGAATGCGTTGAAGCATTGCGGCAATGTCTTTCTCCAGAAAAGCGGCGCTCACGCGCAGGTTCGCGTGCGGGGCGGCCAGATTGACATTCCCACCTTTCCCCCCGAGGAGCAGCGATGCTAATGGGCCTTGCACGCCCGCGGGCATATGCGTTTGCGGCTGCATCAGAAGCGGTGTGAAATGTCGCATCGTCTCCGCCGCGGAAGAGGCCCCAAGGCTCGACAGGACGTAGCGCTCCGAGGCAAACAGTTGCTGCGCGTACGGGTAGTCTATGAGGCGCTCTGGCTTCGAGCGGTGCGGGCTGGCCTTCAGCATCGCCGTGCCGTGAATGATATCGCGTGCGCTCCCCATCCCTATAGCAAGCGCGTGCTTCGCGTGCATGCGGAGCGCGACGGACTCCACCAGCGGCATTGGCTCATCCACGGCGGCTGAAGCGACAAAAGAACTCAATGCGTCCAGACTGAACCGGGCGCACGCCAGCTGCGAGAGTCGCTTTTGCACCGCCGGGTTGCGGACTAACAGGGCATCGTAACGCACCGTGTGTGTGGCGTGCAGGGCGCAAATTTCCTCCAGCTTGCCGAGTATGCCGCTGCACACCGCGGCAGATAAAATGTTTTGCTCAGCGGCAAATGCATCCACGGAAGTGGCGGCATCCGAGACAACAGACCCGTCCGCCTCCTTCAGCGTCACGGCACGGATTCCACCGCCAATGGCGCTGCTGCGTACCTTCTCACCGGACTGCACCAGCGGTACCGTCACTATTAAAGCCTCCCCGCTTTCTTTCGACGCGGCAAGACGGACGGATGCCGGGGAGCTGCCCTCCTGCACAAGTACTGGAAACGTCCCACGCAACTTGACACGCGTGGGGTCGTTGTCACTCGCCACAACCCGCACCATGTCACGTGACTCAGACAGGGCGCACCACTCCCCCGATCCGTAGGCGTCGGCCAGCCAGTCCGTGCAGGGTGTTGACATTGCCTTTGCCTTCACAGCCTCGCACCTCGTTAACAACGCCCGACGCGATGTCTCACCCACTGACACTTTAGTCCCGCCGCTGTTTCTTTCAGCCGCATTGCCTGCCGGAGGCTTCTGAGGCGTCCGCGACGTAAAGTGTTGTAGCATCAACATATCCGCAAGCCGTCCTTGCTGGAGGAGCGTCGCCACAAAATCCACGCGGTTGCGGAAAAGCAGCACGCGACGCATTTTCTGTTGATTGCGTTCTGGCACACAGAAACACACCAGTGGACAAAAACAGAAGTCAAATGAATGGACAAACAAAAAAATGTCTTTTCCCCTTCCTTTCCTCTTTTATTTATTTATTTTTTAGATTAACGATCCTCCCCCCCCCTGCCACGCCCCTTGTGACTGTCTGGGGACTCCCTTATTTTGTTGTGTGCTACTCTGCTTGTGGAGAAGGGGGGAAAAAGAAAAAATAAGAAAATAAAAAAACAAACAAACAAAAGAAAACGAGCGGTCTTACCGGGGCAACAGGCATCCTTTATGGCGACAGGACGTGCGCAACCGTCCTCCTCTTGTGGGACTTCGTGCCCCCCTCCCCCTTCTCAAGAGAACACAAAAAGGAAAAAAAAAGGGCCATCTTCTTTTTCCCCTGCAGCAGAAAGTGTATAAATATAAATATAAATATAAATATAAATGTAAATGTAAATAAATAACTATTATATATAAAGATGTTCGTGGAATATAAACAAAATGTACGCTTTGATCCATGCGAGCGACATATATATGTAAATATATATGAAAAAAAGGAAAAGGAAAATGGCTTGGAAACAAGTGGGAACAGAACCCGGAGACGCACACGTCCTTCTTTATTGCAGCATTCACACCGTGGCGCTTTAGGGATGCAGCTACGCAGACCTTTTCTTCTCTCTCTCTTTCCCTACCCATGGCATTTAATATATTGCCCCCTTCATTTCTGCCTTCCATGCTGTATATATATATATATATATCCACGTATCTATGTGCATGCGCATTTGTCTGTATGCTTTTACGTGTGTGTTCTTTCCTCCGGCCCCCCTTCCCCTCCCCCTTCGTCAAATGTCGTCCGTCAGGTTTAGTTTCACTTTTCCGTCGCTCGTGTTGTCAAACGCCGGCTGGCCAAGAAAAGGGCACGTGGCACAGCGGAATGCATCTCCCTTGGCGCAGTTCCCACAACCACCCGCCGGCATCTGCGGCATCTCCACCTTTTTTCCCTCAGCCAGCATTTTCCTCTCCAATTCCGCCCGCCCGCATGTGCAGTTCTTGCAGGCGCGTCGCCGTGTCGTGCAGTCCTCCCCTTTCGTGGCCTCCTTCACAACGCGGTCCTCCTCGGTGAGCAACGCGTCCTCATCAACGGCCTGACGCGTCTTTAGGCTGAATGCCTGTGTCGGTTTAGAAGACATCACCCCCTCTTTTTCGGGTCCCTGCGTGTACGTATACCCTTTATAGCAGAAAGCTCACTTCAGCTATCGGAGAGACGTGGGTATAAATAATAATAATAATAATAAGAAAGAAATATCAGAAGAGATGACATGAGCCATGCATAAAGGCCGGCACATACACACACAAACACATCCTTCCTCTCCCCATGCCTCTGTGCACTTCCATCTGTCCATGTTTTAATAATAAATAAATAAATAATTAAATAAATAAAAACAACAACAACAAAACACGCGCATGCGCGTGGATATCAGCGGTCACAAACAAATCGGCGCAAACCTTCCGCCCGTTCTTCACTCTCTCCCCACAACAACGGCTCCACGTGACCACTCGCGTTCATGCAGCTCGTGTATGGGGGATATATGTTTGATGACACAAGGGAGCAGACAATGAGACGCATGGCTTCTCAGGAAATCGGCAGAGGCCATCACAACGCAGGGGGGGAGGAGAAAAGACACAAGCGACGGGATTTTTCCAAAGCGATCCTCTCAAAAACGGCAGGTTCGCCTTTTAAAACGTTCCAGTCGCTCTCCTCTCAAACACGGAAAGAGATTGCCATCCCTTCAATCACCGGCAGTGCTGTTGCTCTCCTTGCCATTTCCCCCCCCACCCCTTCTTCCGTATAAACACACAAATAAAAAATAAATCACACCGCCAACAAAAGCAAACGTACACCCACCCACAGAAAGAAAACAAACACAAAAACCTCAACGCGTTAAATATGATGGTCATTGCAAAAAGGCGCGCTTCTCGCTTGCAGGTTCCCCCCTGTCTCTCTCTCTCTCTCCTTGCTATTTTAACGCGCCTGCTTCTCCCCGCCAGGAAGACTCATGCGCACCTCTGGACCCAAAGAAATCCCCTCCGCAAAATCAAGCACGCCAACCTCCATGTCTTCGGCAAAGTGATACGGTGCCGTCTGTATGCTCGGGCGTCTGTAGTACCACTCGGGGCGGCTCATGCTGCCGTCGGGGTTTATAACCACGTCACCGTCGCTCTGCGCGTGGGCATCCGTCACTGGGACCATCCGCATTCTCTTTTTAATAACTCCGCAGAATTTGTAGAGGTCGACAATTAATTCGCCGCAGCTGATTTCCGTCCCCTTTGAACGGGCCCCTGTCCACTCATAAAGTTTGGGGTGAATGTAGCTTAGCGTCAGCAGCGAGCTCTTGTCCATTGGGCGGCCTACATTTTCATTGATGAACATACGCAGGCGGCGTTTCCGCTCTGGCGTCCACTCAAACCCCTTCAGTCGTCTAACCGCAAGGCGGTTGTAACACCAGCGGTCCCCTTCACGTCCAAAAAGGCGATGATTTGCCTCAACAAGCTGTACACACTCATGACGTACTTTTCCATCCACATCGGGGGCGTGAATGTCAAGGTTATCAACCGACTCCATCAAAATCACACCGCGTTTCTGTTTTCGTTGCAGCATTGAGCGCTCCCTGTGCAGCACGTCGGCAATCGTGCCGGATGAAAACAAGGGACGACAACGCCCGGATGCATCCACGGAGGCGGCAGTGGAAGAGAGCGAGTGTGCCGACCAGCGCTCCAGTTGTGCCGGCTCCACCACCACTGCCACGTGCGAAAACCTCAGGGCCGCGGGCCGCATGAGGCTGTACGCAAACTGCGCTATTGCAATCTTCCAACTCGTGATGCCGGTGCCCATGAGCAGCACGACATCGCCCTCACGCAAAGTCGGCTCCACCTTTGACCACTCCTCAAGAGGATATTCCTCGTGCGGCTGGAAAAGCGCATGCACGGACGCCTCCAACTGCCACCCCACCAGCACGCATAGCGAAACGTAGCCAACAGAAAGAAGAAGAACGCACGTTCCAAGAGTCAAGCACTTCCGCGAAATCCGCTGCGCGCGGAAATAACGCCACCTCCTCTGGAATGAAGAAATCAGCCATTGCGTGAGTGTGCCGGATTTGCATGTGTTCGCATCATACCTCGACATCTCCCCAGCACTGAGAAACCGTTTGCCGGCACCGTGACAGCTGCTACTAATCATAATCATACTACCGCTACAACGATGCAGCAGCGACGGTGGTTGTTTCTGCCGCCTAACCACAATTGCTGCCCACCTCATTTATGTCTATTACCACACACACACACACGATTACTGGAAAAGTGAGAGAGAGAGAGAGAAAGAGGCAGAAACCCCCTTCTTTTTACCCGTCCAATTTTTTATTCCCGATTTGTTCCCTTGCGGACCCCTTTTGTCCCTCCTCCAGCGGAGAGAAGCACAACAGAGAGGAAGTGAAAGAGAGAGACAGAGAGAGAGAAAAAAAAGGAAAGGGCGGCCCAGGCATCACAACAGTCATCCAATCAGCAGAAAGAGCCCAATCCTTCCGGGCCCTCCCACTCCGAGCGGACCCGCAAGATCCGCAGCGAAAGGTGGGAAGACACACACACACACACAGAGAGTGAGAGTGAGTGAGAGACAAAAGGCGTGAACCGAACCGAACGCATAAACAAAACAAAACAAAACAAAACAAAACAAAAAACAAGCACTACGAACACGACGATGCACATGCACAAATAACAACCACTGGGAGACACAACGAAAATTCCCCCCCCCCCCCCCCCCCCTTCTCCTCCAACGCACCCTCTTGTGACACCGTGCCGTGGGTTTCTTCTCCCTCGAGAAGGACGGTGGTGGTGGTTGGCAACAACGCCCGTGAGCGGCGCAAGAGTAAAGCGCGGGGCAGTCACGGGAAAGTAAAATAAAAACACACACACACAAAAAAAAAGACGGAAAATAGGTGGATCAAAAAGCGAACATAAATATAATGTATCTCTCTCTCTCTCTCTCTCTCTGATGCGCGTACGGCATAACCGTGGCGTGCGCCGACACAACAAATAGAAGGGGAAGGGAGGAAAACAAAAAAAAAAACACTCCAAATAACAGCACAGGGATATACATCACATAGCCATAAACAAGACTTAAAACGCATGCGTCTGTGCAGATAGGCTACAGAGCGGGAAAAAAATGTTTTTTTTTTTTTTTCCTGAGGGGAGAATTTCATTGTTATTTCATCGACCATTTTTTTCCTGTGGATATTTCTTGTTTTATTTATTTATTACTAATTTTTTTATTTTTATTTTTGTATGCAACGTCCCCTCCATTCCATGCGATGCTGCCACTTTTTCATGGACGTGTGCTTCGCTGCGGCCCAAAAGGAGGGGCGACGACGTCCTCGTCTCGTGCACATCCCCGGCCCCACACTTCATTTGGGGGCCACTCGCCCGCCAAGCAGCATAAATGCAGGCCGCGTGCGAAACAGCCAAATGTACCAAAGGACAAAGACACTTGTATAGGCAGAGAAGACCACCCACCCGCAATGAGTGTTTTTCTCTCTCTTTTTCCCGTTTCCTGCTTTTTAGCGTCTCCTTTTTTTCTTTGTTGAACTTGATTTTTGATGCTTGTTTACTGCACTTCACACGAAATCCTCCAAAAGGGGGGCTCTGACTACGACTCCATGAGAGCCTCATGCAAGTAATCCTCAATGGAGAACGGCTCGTCTTTCCACTGGCGAAAAAAAGGGTGCTCCAGCAGCTCACCGGCTGTTGGGCGCTCCGCTGCCAGGGGCAGCCTACTAATACGAATGAAGTCAAGGAACTCCTCACTCAGCGGGCAGGACCGCGCGTAGTTTCTCAGGTTCAACGGTGCCGCTATGCGTGATGCTCGATCAAATGCGTCCTCGCAGTCGGTTAAATCGACAGGGTACTCACCAACAGCAAACTCCGCAAGTGTCATGCCTACTGCCCAAATGTCGCTTGCCTTTCCATGCGGTTCCCCACGTTGTCTCTCGGGACTCATGTACTTGTCTGTGCCGGAGCAATGCACACTGTCTGAGGAGCTTGTGCTGCCCCCTGATGAAAGGGTTTTTTGCATTGGTGGAGATGATTTCTCCCTTTTTGTTCCGGAAAAGTGGTGCGTTTTGTTTTTTTTGTCACCAACACGTTCGTTGACTGCATCACAGCGTTGAGACAATCCAAAGTCGCTTAGCTTCACAATACCCTTCTTGTTGACGAGAACATTACCGGGTTTGATGTCCCTATGAATATATCCACGTTCATGCATGTGCTGAACACCACGCAGAAGTTGCTCACCCACCACTGCCACCAGGCGCTCCGGCACCTCCGTTTTCCTCTTCGTGCGTCGACCGGCTCTTCCTAAATCGTCTTCGACCGCATTATCGGTTTCGTCCCTTCCACACAGAAGTTTTTGCAGATGATCCAGACCACCATAGTGCATGTACTCCATTACCAGATCAAGTGCCATAATGTCCTCTGTGTAAAAGGCATTGTACACCTTTACCATAAACGGACTCCGGTATGCCAAATGAAGAACCTGCAGTTCCCGTACCACAATAAGCTGCAACTGACGCAGGCGCGTTGTGGACTTCAGGCGCTGTAAATTACTCCCTCTCAACATATTCCAATCAAAAAATAGCGGTGAAAGATCAATGCGCTTGACAGCAAGAAGACGCTCCGTGGGCATATGTTCCGCCATAAAAACGCACGCAGACGCACCAACTCCGATTTGCGACATGATCCTCAAATCGCCATATCGCACCACGTTTGGGGGCAAAGAAGTCAAAGATTTAGACTTCAAAGGCAGTTCCGAGTACGACAGAAGACTCATTGCGGATACGTCCTCCGATCCGGGCAGTGAGTAGAACTCGGGACTATCGGCTTCTTCAACTTCATGAACTCTATCCCCAACTGCTTGAGCGGGAGGCGGGACTGCAAAGCTGTTCTCTTGAAAGCGCATTCTACCCTCAGACTTGAAGGGATCGTGAGATACTGCTTGGTTGGCATCCAATGAATAGGTGATGGGGCTGTACCGTGTGTCCATGCTTGCGGATAAGAGGGTGAATGAATTGTTAACTACTGGCTCGGCAGGAGCAAGAATGGTTTCTGGGAGAAGGAGCTGCTGTGGAGCATCTTTCCCCGTAGACAGAGGCACAGAGCCCCCACGTTTTTCGGCGTTCAGTAGCAATACATTCTGCATCGTGAGGCATCCCTCATTTGACACACGAAAAGGACCCGCCAGCAACACGCGCTTATCCTCCGATAACGAAAGCAGCGATGCCTTCTCTGGCCATGCAAACCTCCGATCATTCGGCCAAATGGCCCCAGCAGCAGGGGATTGAGGGAGCTTTCCTACCTGTTGCTGTGCTGGCAAGCTCAGGCTCAGCCCATGGTTTGACTCACAGCCGATTGTGCACCCGGTTGGCGCTAACGTCGGCCCCTTCTGCGGTGATTGTGATGGCGGTAGGACTGGCATCTGCTTGCTTGTCCACCCCGTTGGGGTGAGTTGTTGCGTGGGCGCAAAGAAGGATGCGGGTGTTGTAAAAAGTGAGGGAGGCCGCCTCTTCTCCCGCGTCGTCAAACCCATTGTGAAACTACTGCTTTTCATGCCATACCCCTGTCCCATCGGCCTCAGACTACAGCGGTTTGGGGTAAGAGCAGTGTGCATGTGCCGCTCTGGGCCTTCCTTCTGCGCGTCGTCGCCAAGTTGGTTCAAGCAATTTGACAGCATTGATATGGAGGCGGTGCCACCTTTACCGCCGTCGTTTCTCTCATGCCGTGGGAGCAGCCTGTCGGTGTACGGTGACAGCTTGCCCGGTGTAAACATGTGGCAGCCCCTTCCACGGTACTTTTGTGCCTATTCCTTTCCTGTTCTACTGTGTTTCTTCCGTTGCCGCTCTTTCCTTCTCCCCCCTTCTCTCTTTCTCTCTCGCTCCCCTGCGTTGAGGAGGAGGCACCACCCGGAGTCGTGCAGTGGCGGCACACACACACACTAAAAAATGATCCGGCGCACCGCCTTCTTCTTCTTTCTCCCCGCCACGCACCACCCGAAAGGGGAGGAGACACACGGAGAATTCTGAAAACCAAAAAGCAAAAAAAAAAAAAAAACAGAAAGAAGAAAGAAGGAAGGGAGCAGGCAAGAGAGGCACCATAAAGTACGGCACATGACAACACGCCCTCCCTCCCTCCCTCCCACACACATACACGGCGGCTCTCAACAAAAATAAGAAAACAAAAAAAATAATAAAAAGTGAGTTTTTAAATCCCTCTTAATTTTATCTTCTCAAATACAAAAGAAAAGAAATGTGCCTCGTTTTTCTTTTTTTCCCTTTTTTTTTTTTTTTTAGTGGGCCAACAGACATGACGGAAACAAACAAACAAACAAAAAAAAAAAAAACGGGGAACATGTGCCCGGCTGGGGCCGTCGCACACATCCACAGACAGGCGGAGAGGGAGGGAGGGGGAGGGAGGGACAACAAAAGTGAAGCGGACCTTCCGTTTCAACGCACCCCCCCCCCCCCCCC